GGGCTGGGACAGAGAGGTACACCATTTGTCAAGTGAGTCCGTGGAACAAATTACAGATCGAGCAAAGTAGGTTTGGTTTTTACGTCTAATTCGGGGGGTAAACAAATTACGGCCCGCAGACCAGATATGGCCTTTGACCGGTAATTTGCTTGAGTTTTAACAAAAAACAGAACAAAACAACAAAAAAATACCCTGCTCGCTCCTGGCAAAATAATTTCAGTCTGGCTCGCGAGCTGACCCTGGAATGGATTTAATATAGAACATGGTTATCAGTGAGTTGATAACCGAACAAAAACAAAACTGTCTGCCTTGAAAATTGAAATCCATAGATTTCTTCCCAGCTGACATTGATAAATCTGGTCTTTTTTTTTCTCTCGTCAAATACTCTTATCCTACAGTTGTCAATGTTCGTCTTATTTCTGAGAGATTGGGTATTTTAACCGATTTCTCCCAACTTATTTTCTTCTGCTTTGATATTCGAAATAGCTTATCTTTTAAAGTTTTGGCCGACGAGATATTCGGAACGGCCAAGGCTACCAAAATAAAGCTTTAGTTCCGGTATCCTCGGGAACGGCTCAACTTTTAGAGGTCTGCACATCTAACTGACCAGAATCTGCCTAACTCGTATGTTCTTCTGTTTTCCTAGTATATCAGAACCATCTGCGTGTCTCTTCCATAACGGTGTCCTGTTATAGTAAATCTGTCTCCTTGTCTTTAAATTTAGGTGGTTAATACAGGCTTGTTACCTAAAACTTTTCTTTTTATGCTGAAAATGTGAATGCATTCCTGTTTCAAAATAAAATGATACCGACGAAAAAGCAGGGAACAGGCTCTGCGTGTATGAGTTAATCCGGCTCCCAACTTGGACACACTTGCCCAATCCTGGTCTAAACAAATTAATGAGGAATACGATGTATCGTCTTTTTTTTTAAATGAGATTATTGTGGTTATCAATTCAGAATCCTTGCTGGGAACAAACTGTGCAAGAAGAAAAAAAAATATATACGGTCTAACCTGTCCTTAACGGTCATTCAAGATCATAAAGGAAAGTGACCGTTATAGGAAAAGGGGGGGGGGGAGGGCCGATACGGACAGGGGTCTGAGTTATGATCGTTTACTGCTATCCTAACTGTCAACTAAGGGCCAACTCGAGCTAAATGGGAAATTGGGGGATTGGGAGTTAAGTAAGGAAAGGAAATGAAAACTCGTGATATTATTAATGTGTTCGTTCAAGGGTTCGTTATTTTCTAACACAAGCAAGAAGGGTTACAATATTACTTTTTCGTATATCTTTGTACCACTACAGGTAAATTTGTTTAGAAATAATCGTAGGAATGTCCACTGTGTGGTTTGCCCTGAGATGTTTCATCAGTTTTAAAACTTATTTATCGGAAAGACATGTATTGTTTTTAACCAACATAATTATGTTTTATCTTTATGTAACGTAATCTGTGAAAGTTGTAACAATCCTAAATCAGTGCTGGTAATATACGGTATGCTATGGGTTAACTTTCCTAACAACTCTGCAAGGTTAGATAATAATAGATAAGAATAGATAGCATTTGTATAGCGCAATTCCCAGCTCAACAGCAAGCTCTATGCGTTTCATAATCTACACTATTACCCCAGCAGACCCGAGAGCCTTTTGAAACAACCTCAACTTCCTGGGAAGCCTACAGTGCAAGCTGCCATTTTTATAGGCGCTAAAACACTAACAAACTGACAAGATCTTTCGCTGCGTGTCTAAGGCCGGGTACACTTTCCCACCTGGGTGAAGTGAGGAAAATTCGAGTAAAGCGCC